TTCAGTAGAAATGTGGAATTTCAAACTTCTTGGCCTGTAAAGGATATCTAACTGTGTGAAGATACAAAAGTGAAATCAAAGCCAGGAATAACCTGTGAGATGATCTGCACAATAGTAGAACCCCAGGAAATTATGCACTGTAGCCTCGTGAGGTTTGAAAACTTTTAGGTATAACTTCGAGTAGCTTGAATCAGGAGAGATAACAGAGCCTGGAACTTCAGGTGCTCAGTCTAGTGGGATCCCTCTCAGGATTTGCAGGTCACTTGCATTCTCTGAGCACCAAATACCTGAAGTAACACAGAAACACACAGACATGAAAGTTGTCTTCCTGCTATGCAGACTTTACAGATTTTGTAAAGTCACGAGGTGAAAATTCAGGAATGAGATTCCTTGCCCTTCCAAGTAGTTTTAACCAGCAATAATTAAAGACTTTGTCTATATCTCAGTTTTCCATGTGTAAAAGCTGACTTCTATTATGAGTTTGTCATACTTACTCTCTCCTGGGGGCCTTCTGCTGCTCCCACAGGATGAGGATGTTGCATTCAGACATCTAATCTTTCCACATACCACTGTGTACCGAGGCTGAGCCCGAAATCTGTCCAAGAGACACCAATTTTTATACTCAGGAGGACCACCTGCAGCACTGACCCTGACCTTCAGGCTCTCTCAGATAGCCTGTGTGGATCACAAATTGGGAATCTGGCTTCTTGCAGAGGAGTGCAAATAAATGCTATTTAAATGTAGATTTAAAAGAAGGTATTGCCTTCTCTGTAGTTGCAAATCTGTCTCTAAACTCTAGAACTGTCAATGAAAAACTCTTTTTGTGGTACTTTTTTCTTCCCCGTTCATAGGAGGGTAAAAAAATGGCTGTACCTGAATTTGTTGAAAAACCAGCAGCAGAGGATTAGGACTTCTGGATTATTCTTTACTGGAAAAAAAGTTGATGGAGATATAATCCAAAAAAAATAACATATAATGAAGCTATTGCAATAATAATTTATGCAATTACACTTGCTTAAGCTCTGCAGTTTGCAATTCATCATGTTCTTGGTTCATATTGGCTGCATGCACCTTCCAGTGGCATTTTGCAGGAATATTCACTGCTTTATTTCAGCTACAATTCAGTAAATTGCAATTTCAAGACATCCAATGCCACAAAAAAAAGTCTGAAAATGGCTGAAATTTATTGAGGCCTATTTTAGCATAGCATTCTTACTTTCTAAATACCTGCAGAAGATTTTACTTGATTTCATTAGTAGCAAGATAAAAATATTAATGTTCTTTTCAAAGCTTCCTTGGTGTTGGAAGTTTATTGAAGAATGTGGAAGTGATCTTACATGAATCAGAAATAGCAATAGATTTTGGACTGCTGAGACTGTCACTGTGTCCTTAGGTCATTCTGGGCTGGGATACTGAAAGGGACTCAGAACAGGTGTAGTATGACACACAACACTAGATGATTTATGCACCTTCTACCTGGACAATGCAGCATGGGATAATACCCACTGGTCTGTTTTTTAGAAACCCTCAGCACCAACAATCTCAGTTGAAATGAAAATGGAAGTGGCAACTGCCAAGAAGAGCTGAAAATAGGGCCATGGATGTGAGCCTGAAAACTGAGTTCCATTGTGTTTATGCTTTAATATCAGCATCTTAAAACTTTCTCTAAACAACGTATTTTTTATTTAATTCTTTCTGTAAGAGCAGGGCAAGAAAAAGCATCATTAAGGATGTACTTGATTTCTTACCTGAGCCTTCTGTCTCCATCACCCTCAGTCCACAAGTGACCTGTTTTGGAAATTTGAGGGCGGTCTGTTCAGTCATTTTTCAAGAAGGCAAGAAGTGTTGAGGGAGGAAGCTCCTCCTAATTTCTCTGGTTACTGCTGTATAGATTTTTTAAAAGTCACCATTATGTTGAAAGTAGCAGTTGAAGGATGTGAGAATTCAGTTCATACAGGGTAGACAACTGTATTCACTTGAGCCCTTTAATGTAAACCTGTAGGATCAAGTCCTCAATGCCAAGTTTTCTGTGCTAAGTCTAGTGACAAACCCGAGGTGACCCAGAATTTTGCTTGCTTGCAACCAGCAATATCTGAAGGTAGCATAGTAATTTATCCTTTCTATACCTTCTCTGCACCTGTGCTGGAAGGCCACGGTGTGTGGCTGGGACTGAGGGGCACTGCCTGCTAATTTTGTCTCTTCTTGACGGGGGACCAAAGGCAGAAAGCTCAGCTTGGCTGCTAAAAATGGGACACCAGGATTATTTTAAGGTGTCAGGTGAACAAATGTCATGCTGAAAGAACTGTGGAAACTTAAGAAGGAACCAAAACTATGTGAAAGCAGTTACATATGTGGGTACTTCTTCAGAAAATGATATACTTGTATAGCCTTTAAAATCACACAGCCAAGAACCTTTGTAGCAGGAGCAAGAAAGTCTCACTTTAACCATGCAGCACACAAAGAGAAGAGCAAGCCAAGAGAAGACTGACTGTGAAGCAGGCTTACACATATGAGAAATGATGAGTGATAATGGTTTCAATCTACCATCCTCACTCTGGCTGCAGGGTTCCTTTCTGGCTGATATATGTGCACACTCTGCAATGTTTTCCAACATAAAGCTTTACAGCTTATACAGGGGCTGGAATGAGCATCTACTGAACAAGGTGGAAAGAAATGGAAATCGGAAACCATTCCTCAGACTCAGTAATACAGAATATTTTTTTGTCACTGGATGCAAAGAAAAAGCCCAGAACAAGTTATGGATGACATGTGTTTCAACATAGCAGCTCTTTCTACATACCTCAAGCAATTAAGTGTAGAGAACCACATGCCATCTGCCTGAAGCTCTGTTTTAAGATTGTCTATCAGGTAAGCTTGCCTAAGGTTCACCTTGTTTCACCAAAAAAGCTGAAGGAGGAATGCACATCCATTCCATCTGCCCATTCCATAAGGCTTTGCAGTGTAGAGTAGGTTGGTGCTAAGATAGGTGGGTAAGAAGAGAAGTAGTTTCTAGTGCTTGAGAAAGAAGGGTAAAATCAAGTAAACAGATTGAAATGCTGTAGACCTCAATGACCTCAAAAAAGCACCCTGTGCAATTCTTCAGCTTTTTCTATAGTGAATATAGACATTCAATGATATTTCCACATCAATTTCTCTTAGAGGTAGATAGAAGCAAAAAAGAGGTTAAACTCAACACTCTCTTTAACCTTCCTCAGTCCTTCCATTGCAGCTTTGCTTCAGAAATACAGATTTTTTCTTTTACTTTCTTTCTTAGGGACAGAAAGAGCAGAGGCTCCCTCTCCTCTCTAAAGCTGGCATAGTTTTGGACAATCAACCATATAAGATCAAATTGTAAAAGTCTCTCCTAATTAGTTAATTGGGTAATTAATTAGATAATCAACAAATTAGCCAATTTTGTGGTGCATTATCACACCTGTCACTCATCTAAAGATCCACCTCTTGCACAAGCCCAGTCCCTTCCCAACCCCACCCCTGCCACATCACTGTGTCTTCACATGGCTGTGTTCCCCCACTGCATCATCCCCTATAAATTCTAGATTTTTGGTGTTCATCTCTCATTCCTTTTGCTGTACAGCAGTAGCAAGAGGGACTTGGAGTTGGGAGACTGTGACAATTTCAGGGAGGAGCAAAATGCAGGATTTGATTGAGGTGTCAGCACAGGGAGGAAAGCAGGCTCTATAAATTAGGTTTGTAATTGTAATACAGTGGCTAATGCCAAAAATGAAATGGAGACAGAATAAACCTTTGGTTATTTCTGTTATGAAGTGGTGACACATAGGGAAGGTATTTTCAGCCATTTGAGAAAGATTTGAAAATTTTCCTCCTTTCCTCAGGCTCATGTTATGGAGAGGAGTAGGCATTTTGAGGGGTTAAAGAGATATAAATGATTATTTTTAATAAAAGCCTTATCAACTTAACAAAATCTCTTCACAACAGTTGTCTGTGTAATGTTGGACGTATGATAATGTGATATTGAAAAGTTCCACTGGGATTTGTGCATCTTGCCCTGTGCAATTCTGACTCTTTCACATTGGTAATGTCAAATTCAAGCCAAGAAAATGACAGTACTCATCTGTAAGATGTATACACACTGTAATTGCCTAAGAACAAAATTGTCTTATATAATTTATAAATCTCACTTCAGCATTTTCAGTGCTTTGATGGCGTATTGGGGAATATTGGTGAATATTGATGCAAAATTATTTCTTCATGTAAATCAAATCTTGAGAGTTTTCATATGCAGCCAGTGAGTGGGTATGTGTGTTTTTGTTTATTTGTGAATATATCTGCCTACATAATCCTTCATCTTATAGGCTACATATTTCCCTTGTCAAAAGTACAATGGTAGTAAACAGCTGTTAAATAGTAATACTTTAAATTTATTATTGGATAGCATCTTTCATCCAAGGTTCTCATCTTACTTTAGTATTAATTAGTGCTTGATAATCCTGATATGACATAGAAAATATTATCCCCATTAATAATAGTTAAACAGAATCACAGTAAAATAATTTTCTCTAGTGGTATTGTCACTCCTGTTTCAAAGTTGTACTGATTCTGGGCTCCCTGTCTTCTCCTGTAAAATCTCAGTAGACATAGAGAACATTAGTTTTTTATCTCAGTCTGTCTGCCCAGGGTCAATCCTGGAAGTGATTGCGTGTGCATGTGTGGGTGACTGTAACTGCTGCATTTAGAATAGTAACTGTGCTTTCTTCATCATCCTTTTTGGGTTTTGTTATTTGAGATTCCTCTTGAGTTAACAAGCTTGATTGCAAGATGCTCTTTCTAGAGGTGAGGACATAGCCAGCTAGGTCAGCCAGAAATTGAAGCAGTAAGTCTTTTACTCTCACACTGTTTCTAAAACTCCACAGCCCTTTTGCAGGGTGGAAACATAACAGAGAACTGAACCAAATCCTCTCCCCCAGTTATGAAATGTCTGAAAGCTATCAAGATAGTATTTGACTTCTTTTCTTTTCCAGCTTAACCCACACTACCCAGAAGGTAATAATGAAGGCAAAGCTTTGGTAAGTGGAATTTATGTGTTGCATATAATCTGGGGAATGCTGTATCCTTCACCCAGCATGTCCTGACATATGGAAGCCCTTCATAGCTTTCCTTTTCCTTATGTGTTCCAGCTGCTGGGATTGTTTTCCATATCCTGTGTAAGGTAGGATGCATCTCAGAACTGGCAATTCAGAAAGTTTTCCCCCACGTTGAGGCAAATGATAAGAAACTTTTTTAAATTCTGCACCAAAGAGGCATTAGTTGAAGCTGTTGTGCTTATTATTTGACTGCAGATATGAAATGTATTCATTATTCTCAGCTCAGATGTGTTACTTCATGGCAACAGCCTTTGCCTGGTACAGCTTCAAGAGCATTTTAGCTAATTCTGACTAATGAGGCAAGGTCAGACATGGAGATTATAGTGAGTGAGAGAAGTGGAGTTAAAACCTTGGGGGAATCTTATTGTTACTAAGTCAACAGATATTCCCGAAAATAATCATTCCTGCATCAAATTCATGAGATTGCCTTGGAAAGACTGAGATCTTCTTCAAAAAAATTCAATTTAATTTCTTTCTGCTTGCCTTCCGGCTTTTGTTCTTTAAGAGGCCACATTTTCAAGTTTTTCTCTGCACAGGGAAGAAATTTTTGATTTTTCATGACATGAAACCCAAGAATCTTACATAATCACATGCCTTGAGGACTGCAATTTTAATAAAAATGGAGACTTTCATAGGAGTTGGCAACATTGGTTTTCCATCTTCACTGATATTTGGCATTAGTGGTGATATTGCAATAAAAGCTAAGCTGTCTAGAGAAATGAGAATTCTCTCCTGTGAAAGTACAGAAGTTCCACCAGTTGTTTCTCTTTTGTATTGGAGTGAAACTTGGGGCTTTTGGAGCTTTGGAATGGAAATCAAGATCAGTTCTAGAATTCCCCAGTGAGTAGGTGTTAGGCCCTTGTCACTGAGGATCCAATCCTATTGTACCACACCATACTTATTTATGGTGTAGGTTTTCCCTCTGTAGCCATTTCAGTTCATCTAAATAGTTAAATATTCCCTGGACTGGAAAATGACAAAGTGACTGAATTTTGGGCAGCAGCAATGGAGAAGGGTTTTCCATGATGCAGCAGTGGGCACAGACACTGAGGTTCTGCTTATGCACATCTTTTCTGCCTTGCCTTAAGTAACTCCAGAGTCTGGAAGGGTTTTGGCTCCAGGGAACATAAATATTACTGGAAGTCACTAGGACTTCTGTTCCCAAGCATTAAAGGTATCTTTGGACCAAGGTTCATTGCTTGTTTATGACCTGCTTCTTGACAATCCAGCCAAATTGTGTTGTGAAGCACTGCTTTTAATTCTGGCAAAATTTGGCCTTACAATGAGTTGATTAATATCCCCACATCAAAGCTTCAGAAGATTTTTTTTTTAATGGGAAGACCTTTTCATGATTGAAGGGTCTTATCAAAAAAAGGCTTCTTCGTCTCTTAAAGTCCAGGAGATTGTAGTCTTAAAGTCCAGGAGATTGTAGTGTATCCTGTAACAAAATGTAGTGCTCTGTGTTACAGCTCCCACTAAACGCAAAATTAGTGTTTTTTATGCTGCAAATTACTATGCTTTTTCTAAGGAGAGAAATGTACAGCATGAAGAAGAATGCTACAAACTTCAGGGAAATGTCAGGAACAGCTGGGAACCTGGCATTTGTCAGTGCCTTTGTGTTAAAGGCTGACTGGATGGGTACCTTATCTCCATTTGTCTGCATTTTCATGAGAGGGCTAATTCTAACCAGTTCCAATCTGCCTGTTATTGATGAGATTTTTGTTAGGATTGAGACTGGTATGCACTTACTTATCTTGTAAAGAAGTTGGGCAGTTCTACAATTTGATGATGCAATTTGATGTATGTCCTTTGACTTCTGTTTATCTATTTTTATGAGTTCCTAACATTCTGCAATTCTAACTTTTCTGTCTTGCTGCCAACCCAGGAGATTTTTTTTTCCTGCTAAACACTGTAAATTAATTTTAAAAAAATTACCTTCCAGAAACGATGTTTATTGAATTATATATTTTACATGGGTGATGCAGTTTAAACAGGTAGAATAGACAATCTGAAAAGCATTGGAAAGAAAAGAGAAAAGGAAAATCATCAGCTTAAAAACGGCAGCTTATATAAAGCCAGCAGCCAGACCACTGGGGAGGCTGGGGAAGAAGGGGAGACACGGATGCCGGCACATTATTATTATTCTGCTGTTGCACACGGGTCTGAATCAGCTCTGGAAATGCATACATTGTTTCTTACAGAATGTCTCTGGCTCCTAACAACAGGATTGCAACGTGATGTCTCTGCGAAAAATGCGATGACTCACAAATGAGTCAACAGTGAAGGTGTTACAGGAGGCTAACTGCTGTGCTGTCTGCCAGGGCTCCGAGCAGGCAGGAGCAAGGCTGGCCATTCATTTACTCCATTTTCTTCTCATCAAGTATTTCTTAAATAATCTAACCTATGGAGTTCTGCTCACGTTACCGCTCTGTGAAAATGCTGGTTTTTAAAGAGCCTCCTAAACTGGGTTAACATACTGAGATACCACATTGCTCTGGATTTAACAGGCATTTTCAGAACTCTGGCTGCTATTAAATTTAATTTCTGCTGAAATCTGTATTGCAGCTTAATGTATTCATTCAGGAGCAGAGCATTATCCTCGTCTGTCTCTATGCCACGAGAGGTGTCTTCACCAATTGGAATTGTAGATTTGGTTTCTGAAAGAAAAGGTATTTTGGGTCTGTCATGTTTTTGTACTGTATTTTTGCAGTTGAAATGAAGGCCCTTCTGTAAGGAAAACTCCATGTAAATCTCTTGAATTTTAGGTATCATGCCCAGTTAAGTTAAATAAGGAAGGTTTGGGATAGGTAACAATTAGAAAATTCTATTAAGAGTTGTGAAAAGGGTTATCTGCTGGGCTGTAAGTCTCAAGGAAGACAAATCTGATTGTACCTGATTGTTTTGTCACCGATTGCAGCATGGGATTTGTCTCTCCTTACATTTGCCCTCTACATGGCAAGCAGTATGTCTGCATTGTTTCTTCTCCTTTAAGCTTCTTTTTAAATCATGATGCTCTGTAAATCAGTGGTGGTAGCCCAGGAGTTACAGACTTTGCTGTGGGCCTGGATCAATATTTCCCCTTCTTGCCAAAATGGCGTTTTTCTCACTACCTAGGACTCTTTTTCACTACTTAGGACTCTTTTTTTGAATGTTTAGCCTTGGCTTCCCTAGATGGGTCCCAGCTGGAGAAGTGCCCTGGCTGTGTCGTGGGGGTTTGCTCAGTTCCCCTTCCTGGGTGTGATTATTGAGCTTTGCTGCTGCAGATTAAGGCTGGGGGCTCACAGCCCTCTCTTCCAGTGTACACTGAGGTTTTCCCAGGCTGAAGGAGCTGACTCTGCTCTTTGCACCACTGATACTTACACTGGGTTGTTTGGAAGGTGTGGGTCCAGCTCCTGCCCGGTAGAAGCAGAGCTGAATGTGTCTCTTTCATCCTTGTGAGTGATTTAACCAGCGAACAAGAAAGGGGTGATTGTACCTTCCCCACCTTGGATATGTCTCTGATGTCACTTGTGACAGCCTGTTGCTAGTTTTTTGTAGTTTGGGACAAACAAAGCTATATACATTTTCCTTCCAGGAATGTACTATTTGGAAATATTGTTTTACCCACAGTTCTCTATGCTCCTGGCATGTAATTCACCTGGGTTTTATTGTTTTTTATTAAGTCTTGGGAGTGCTTTCCTTGGCTGTTACTGACCACATCACCAACATCTCTGAAACTGTTCCATTGGCTTTCTCTTCACACTGCTTTAAGCTGGATTTTCTTCTCTCTGCATTTGAGTTCCTTTGCAGTTCTTTTCTTCCTTTCTCTTAATTGAATCCAGTTTTGCTGGCTGCAGCTGCTCATATGCCAGTTTCTACCTGAGCAAATGTCATCTTGTTTTCATCTGCTTAGGAATGCAGTGCTTCTCCCAAGCTATTGTCTAATTAATTTAAGCTAGCCTAGTACTTTCACTTCTTTTCACATCCTCACATGGACTCATCTGCTGATTCAATAATGGCTGGGTTAAGTGCAGATTCTGACGGCTGCTTACTAAATTTAATTTATCATGAGAAGCTTTCAGTATGCAAGTGTCTGTGCATTCTCTCTCTCCCACACAGCCATGTGCACGTGCACTGGGACATAAACTGAGACATGGATACAAATCCATGTTTGTTCCCATGTAATGCCAGCATTGCTGTCTCTTGTATGCAACTTTTTTCCAGAGCTGTCAGGTTGGGGGGTCACTACTTGTTAATTTTTTTTTTTTCCATGAGTAGTGCTTAACTCCCATAACCCAGGTTGAGTTGTGAGATTCAGATTCTAAAACAATGCTGTAAGGGGAGTTCTGAGGTTTGTGGGGGAGTTCAGCCTGGAACTGCTGTACAGCTCTCATGCAGATCTGATTTTGCTCAGCTAAGCTTGGCATTGCAGTTAGCAATGTTGTGGGCACTGTCTTGCCCTCTGTTGAAATGGAATTTCTTTTTAGGCTAAAAAACAGATCTTGCTCCTATGTCTGCCAGCTGCTAGGCCTGGTTGGTGGGACTTAGGGCTGGTGAGCCAATTCCATTGCTCAGCTGGATCTATACAATTGTTGGAGGCACCAGTGGATGAGCAGGGTTAGTCCAAAACTGCTGGGTGAACTTCTCCACAGAACTAATGGTTGGTGTGAACTGCTAAAGCACAGGAGACCTAACCTGCCTTTGACTCTGCCTCCTGCCAGCTCACCCAGTTCATAGACTGGTCATGGTGTTCTGTGGTGGGGAAAATCCCTTTGCCTAGTCTGGGTCAGGTGTTCTGTCCATGTTCCCTCCCAGTATGGTTTCATGTTTTGGCCTGTGTTTTACCCAGAGCCCCAGGATAAAAAGAAAACCATACAATTATGAAGTGTCCTGCCTTTTTGTATACCAGTCATTTCAGTTTGGAAATTATAGTGAAGTGGGTAGTTTCTGGGAAGCCCTAACTAGATTTGAATGTAAGTTGTGGAAAGTATCAAAAAAAAAAAAAGTATCAAAAAGTTTGGCTGCTGTTCTAAACCATCCTATGCTACTCACCCTTTCACAGACCTCTTGAATTTTAAACTGAATTTCCAAATTTCTGTTTTGTTAAGAAGTGTAGGAAGTAGCTTTTCATTTAATATTAGACTCTGACTCACACCTGTTAAGCCCTCAGAAGTATTTTTTTTATTGTTTCTGTGCCTTTTCAGTTTGTGTCTGATCACGAGTATGTAAAACAAAATATGTATGGAAATCAGAAAAGCAATTTGCTATTTTCTCAATCCTTGCATATAGGTTAAATTTCTTGTGCATTTTTCTGTAGTATTTTTGGGCATGAGATACAAGAGCATGCAGGAACTGTCAGATGAGTTTACTCTTGTGCAAGTCACAGGAGATGGTTCCTCTGTCTTAGCAAGCCTTCCTCTCAAACACTTGTGGCAGCACTCTAATGACTAGAGAAGCCTAAGCACAATTTCTTTCTGTATTTTTTTTCCTGCTCTCTCCATCCTTGATAGAAGTAATGGGATGGAAAGCTGGCATTTTGTAAGCTTGATAATTAAAAAATGGATGTTTTGGAAGGATTCAAAAAGTGCCTTGAAATGAGTTGATAACTAACCCTTTCTTCCATAATTTCACTCCTCCTTGATTTTGTTGTTTAATCTCAGTTGGCAATATGGATAATCAAAGCTTTGCCCTTGATTATCCCTTACAGTTTGGTTTTAATCAAGCTACTAATACAAACCAAGTACAGCCTGGCCTTTTACATTGTACAGCTCTTCCTTAGTGGTGTATTGTAAATCATTATAATAGCATTTCATGCTTCCAGGGTTGGATTTTTTTTGTCTTTTGGCTTTCCTCATTCCTCTTCTCCTCTCCCTGTGTGATGTATTTTGTGTATGTGAAGAGCCCTGGGCTGCCAGTCTCTTAATTGGTTATCACTCACACCAGTAATTCTGTTTGTTGCTGCATGGATACGGGCACAGACTCCAAATGACTCTGTCAAGCCAAGAAATGTTCTCAGGGAAGGTGGCATTTGGAGTCTGTAGGCAAAGGTATGGAGGTGACTAAAGATAGGAGGATGGTGCTGTGGGGTCACAAAAGTCCCATGGACTCTCAGAAGGTGGTGGGAGGAAGATCCCACCGTAGCTCACATGCCTTGTTTGAGTAACTCTGTCCCTCAAAGGGAACAACTCCTGCCCTTGCAGAGGGTAAAATCAGACCTGAGTTGGGCTGTTGTTATCAGCCTGTGCTGAGATTTGTAATACAGTCCAGCTGGGGCTTTGCCTGTCCCCCTTGCTATGGTAAGCTGGTCCTGATGGACCAGACGTTCTGGCCCTTGCTCTTTGGAGTGTCCACAGGACAAGAGGAAATGGTCTCAAGCTGCTCCAGGGGAGGTTCAGGTTGGGTATCAGGAATAATTTCTTCTTGGAAAGGTCTAACAAGCACTGGAAGGAGCTGCCCAGGGCGATGATGGAGTCCCCATTCCTGGAGGTGTCCAGGAAACAACTGGATATGGCTCATGGTTGACAAGGTGGTGATCAAAGGCTGGACTCAATGATTTTGGAGGTCTTTTCCAACCTAAATGATTCTGTTATTCTCTAAAAGTGTGCTGCTCTGATTCTACCATCTGAGAGGAAAAAGCCATCAAACTTACATAAAACAACAATGGATTTAAGCAAATTGATTGCTTTTAAAATCCTTTCCTTGTCTTTAAAAAAAAAAAAATCAAATTTTCATTAATTCTCTTCTTTCAAACATGGCTCTTTCTAGACCAGCACTGTGTAGTTGCATCAGCTGGGAGTGAGCAACTACTGGAGGTTTTTTGAAGTTGTAGGTGTCAAATAAAACATATCCTGTACAGCAGTGCCTCTGTAGCTTGTGGCCTGCTGTTGTTCTAATGACTGCCTGAGATCCCACGGAGCAAAGTGCATCCTTTGTGTTACTCCAAAGCCAGTCATGGTAGATTCTTGCTAGAAGGTAAAAAAAAAAATTAAATGAAAAAATTCCAATTCAGACGTATTACTTGTCTGCAAGGTAATTGAAGATTTTCTAATGGGCCCTGATGCAAGCAAATAACCCTTGTGCCTAATCAGCAGAGAGACGGCGACCTTCCTGCTTCAAAGAAGAAACGCCAGGCAGGGGAGAAGATTATGTACACTTTGGTCTCTGTGCCACATGGAAATGACATTGCATCTCTCTTTGAACTGGATGCCACCACCCTTCAGAGAGCTGACTGCCTGGTTCCAAGGTAAAATAAAATTTAAAAAAAAAAGGAAATTAGAAAAGGGCAAAAAATAGTGCTGCATTGACAGGGGTTCTTCCTGGCATTATGCTGGCGAGTAAAGCAGAAGAATCAAACATGAGCAACTATAATCCTTCTGTTAAAAACTGAGGCGTGTTCTTGAGTAAATAGGGGATGTATAAAACATGATACTGCTGCTGTGACTGGGTAAAATAATTATAAGGATAAAACAAGTGACACTTGGAGAGAGTCTATGAAGAGAAAAAATAATGGTCTAAATATTGCACAGATCTGTATGAGGATAGAAATGAGCTCTGTGCACTGTTTGAAAAAAATGTACTTTTAATAGATTTAACTGAATTGTTCCCAACAAAATAATGTGTGGGGTGAGCTGGGCTTCTGTTTCTCTGACAGATCATGATGCCACCGAGTACATTTGTTATTCAAATGTATTCAGCAAGTGGCTTCTGGGTTTTAATTGTCAATATTTGAAATTTTAGCTGTGTAGCATAGCTGAGATTGGTTAGATAAGTCACACAGTGTTGGTTGTGACTGAATGGGCTTGCAGACACTTGGGGCTGGTTGTTATGAGGGTGGATTTTAAAGCTGGGTACCCACAAATACGGATGTATGTGACTTTGAAGTGTGTTTGCTGTGCTAAGTTCTGCCAGATAATTTGCTTACTTGAATACTCAAAAGCCCATCAGCGTGAAAGGGAGAGCGTGAATGGAGACCACAGTGAATATATTTCAAAAGTAAAATTCAGAGTTAAAATTGTAATTGATTTCTCAGCTCTACTTTTTGATAATACCACAGATTATCATATGGAAAGAATTTAGAAGGATCTCATATCTACTCTTTGTTCACTTGATTTTCAGTTGAGAACTGGTACTGTAAATGCTTGCTCTGGAACAAGGATTTGTAGATCATAATGATGAAGCTGTGAAACCACGGTCAGCTTTACTTTCTGGCTTTTGTGCTCTGACAGCTTAAAAGGGTTTGTTATTCTGCAGAAAAAAAAGAAAAAGAAAAAGAATTGGGTTTATTCATGAAATGCATTTCTATTCAGATGGATTTTATAACATCTTCCTTTTAGTTTTTTTTTCTTTAAAGAATATTTTACTCCTAGATTTACATAAATACTTAAACCCAGCATTCTGCATAATCCCAAGATGCTGGCTCTTCCTGTTGAAGTTTTGTTCTGGGTGAGAAAGGAGGAGTCAAGGGAAAGGGGTTCTGCATGTCTTTTAGGTTCATCTCCCCCTTTGATAGCAGTGGCTGGTGTGCCTCTTGCTCTCCAGCCTCATGCCACAGGCAGGTGTTGCAGGAATCCCACTTGCCCACGAGGGCTCAGGACTGACCCATCTCAGCTGCTGTTTGCTCTGTCCCCCTTTAGGAACTCCTATGTCCGACTGAGGCACCTGTGCACCAACACTTGGGTCACCAGCACCAGCATCCCCATAGACACTGAGGAAGAGAGACCTGTGATGTTAAAGGTAAACACAATCCCAAATTCATTCCTGAAGCTGTTTCACTTCTAACCTATGAAGTGTACATAATAATTAGGATAAAGGTAAGAGGACTGCTGACCTGCTTTAAACCAAAAACTATTGCAGATTGGGACGTGCCAAACCAAAGAGGACAAGGAAGCTTTTGCCATTGTGTCGGTTCCTCTGTCTGAGGTCAGAGACTTGGACTTTGCCAATGATGCCAACAAGGTTTTAGCATCAGCTGTTAAAAAGCTGGAGAATGGAACAATCACCCAGAATGAAAGGAGGTTAGTGAGTTTTAATTCTTCCCCTGCTAAATTGGTGTTTGGTTACTCATGGTAACACAGTCATGGATAGGTGATGTCCGCATGGACAGAGGCAACTGGGAGAGGACACTTCAGCTCTGAGAATGTCAGCCTGGGATTAGATTCCACCTCTGTTGGAGTATCCTTGATGCATCTCAGGCTGACCCATGTATCTCCTGTGTAAAAGGGGGGTAAACAGCACTTCCCCAGCTCACTGGACACATAAATAAATGGGTAATGGGCAAATGTCTTTGTCTGGATTTCCTTTGATAATCTGCTTCTGAGCTGTAATGTGAGGGTTCATTGCATCAGACTCTCGTGTACAGCACTGCAGAGCTCCTGACTTGTGTGAAGTTCACCACACAGCAAATCTGCAAAAGCCTTGGAAGGAGGTCTCAGTGTGACTGAGAAGCTGCTCCATTAATCCCTTTGCTTTCTCATTTCTATTTTCCCCCCTTCCCTTTTTCTATTTTACATCATTTTGGTATTTACTCCTTGTATTCATCCCCATTTTGTCTGTGGCACTATTAGAATGTCTGCTCCTCACAACCGCCCCTGAACCAAGGGATTTTGTTGTACATTGTAGCTAGATATATTCCACTGCCAGTGATGTAGTTCATTATTTGTCTTCAGCTGCCTGTGGTTAAACTGAATATAAGACACCATCTCTGGCAGTGTGAACTCATAATTGTAATACATCATATAAAGCTTTTTTGTTCTGAAAATGCTAATTTTTGGTGATGAAACAGAACTTTTGCAGTCAGTTTCCAACAGCAATTAGACCAGATGGTTTAATATCCTAACAGGCATATTTTTAATGACCTGGGTGTTGGGACTCAGCCTTGAAAAGCTGTGGGGCCACTTCATGATTGAGTTGACCCAGGGAGGGATATGACAATGTCCAGGTGGGATGTCCCTGTATGAACCTTGTGTCACTGTCTGTATTGTCAGGTCTTGATGTTGACAGATTGGTACAACAAACATGTAAAACATTTCAGGGCTGTTTCACAACAGTGCCATTATTTATTTGTTCTTGTGATTTCCTTTGGAAAACCCCCCAAATATTTTCCTGTCTTATCCCCTTCTAGCATAGAGAAGTAGGAGTCCTAACAGTTTATTCCTCATTACTCCATCCTACAGGTGCCTTTTCCACTTTATTTTGTGGGGGTAACACACACCTTGGTGTTTTCTACCAGGGGCTGAGGCTTTTAGAGCTAGAGCTCACTCAGAAGGTTTAGGTGAGCAGCCCAGCTCACTTGTGGATAATGGGAACCTTGTGTCTGGCTCCCACAGATGACTGAAAATCTCTTGGGGATCTTCCTGCCTCTTTCATAGCTGGCAGATATGTTAGTTACAGACTAGACATTGACCAAATTGAGATGATGCTGAGTTTTTAATGTAAAAGATTGTTGGTGCTGTTAAAGGATATTCTTTGAAATCTGTGGACATCTGTGTTTCTCACTGCATGTCTGGAAAGGTGTTAGTAAGAAGGAGGCAATGGTGACTGTTTTTTCTTTTTCCCATTTATATTATGTCTCTTTACATTTTCTGAAGGTGGGAGAGAAGGAATTACTACTGCCTCTGTCGTTTTTAGCACCTGCTTCTGACAATCTTTTGTTTAGCAAAGAGTGAAGCAAATACAGTTTCTTGGGTTGGTATACATAGGAGAACAGTTATATATGAATGTATATATGAAAAAGCATGTATATGAAACAGTTTCATGGGTCAGTAGGGAAATTATCTAGTGGAAGAATGTTTTTATTCCTCTAGTGAGTCTATCATCTTGTTTCATGGACCCATGATAAAGCATAAAAATCCTTGCTAGACTGTGGAAGTTTCTTTTTACTGCTCCTGGGCCTTGAGGCCAGCTGGTATAGATTTTGGGTCTCTGAATACTGTGTATCAATCCAGCAGCCTGTATTTTTCTCTTGTTTTCCCTCTGGTTGTTGTTTAATGCCTTAGTAAACAGCCCTGTGATTGATTTAAGCTTCTGCTGAACCGAGGCTTGGAATCCTTAAGTATTTGTCAAACTTAACTTTGCAGTGGTGGAAGTTCCATTGTGCCAGGTAAAGCTTGGCATAAATGTGATTTTTGTTTTCAATGAATCCTAGCAAGCGTTGAGCGACTGTTTATAATAATGATTTGGCTATTCATTCTAGGTTTGTAACCAAGCTATTGGAAGATCTCATTTTCTTTGTTGCTGATGTGCCCAATAACGGGCAAGAAGTTTTGGATGTGATCATTACCAAGCCAAACCGGGAACGACAGAAATTAATGAGGGAGCAAAATATATTGGCTCAGGTATGTCCTACTGTGCTAATAACTTATTAATTAACTTAATTGTATTTGCAAGCAGATTGCAGGAGAGAGTGATGTGAGAAAAAGTTATTTTTGGGTAACTTGGCTTATGCCAGGTTGGGTTTGTGTCTGGTTGGATTGGTTAGAAATGACACTACTACAAAGCTCATCTCTTGGTCCCTAAATAAGAGTCAAGCACAAGGGGCTGTAGAGGGCTTTTAATTTCATGTGATTCTGATAGGGTTTAAGATCGTGTTTGAGAGCAAATTTTTCACAAAATTCGAGACAAACATGGAACATGGTCCCAATCCTGCAGATGTTCCCCACATAGTGCTCCTATGGAACTCTGACTTTGTTTGCACGAGGGTAAGCTTGCAAGTAAATAAAATTAATGTGCTTTTTGAGAAGTCAACTGAAAGAAATTTACAAGAAGGGAAAATGATGAAACTGGACAGCAGCCAGAGTTGTCCTCCTTTTTCATCATTTAAATTATCCAAAGTTAAGACATGTAACTAAAACCGTTTAAATTTGGGGATAGTGAAGAGAAAGCAATGTCAGTCAAGTTGGTGGGAAATGTAAAGCTAACCTCTGTGGGAAGAATAGTTTGTAGGAATAGTGCAGAAAGCAGTCAATCCCAATGAATTACAGCTGTACTGATTATAGAGGAGTGGAAACAGCCTTGCCTGCCCAGTAACGATGGGTATTAAAAAAGTGTGGGTTAGCTGGCCATAAGTTACAGTTGTAGTTGCAGCTGGCACTTCAGACCCAGAATCTGTTGCAGTTTGGGATGGAGACTGCTGGCTGTGCTGTGAGCAGGTAAGGGACATGCAGTTGTGCAAGGGACAGACAAGGTAAGATGTTATGTGAGGGACAGACAAGGTTAGGTAGCAGGGGTAAGGGACAGGCTGGAGTTTAGCCAGTCATGCAGAAGACAGAAGGAAACTTGCAGAGATGAGAGAAGGAGTCAGTGCTGTGTGGAGCTGCCTGAGAAAAGTTCATTGAGAGAAGGCATGTAGAGTTTTTAATGAAGGACTGGTGGTGGTGCCAGTCATGTCCATCTCGACATATTTACTACAAACCCCAAATGCATAAAGCTGTGATGTCTCAGATTGTGTCCCCACTTGTGTTTAGTCAAGGCTGTTATGCTGATCCTGTCAGAGGACACTTCCATTGCCTGCTGTAAGTTCAGCAGCAATCTGGGTCTGTTTTTCACTCTGTGATCTTGATTTTGAACAGGTATTTGGCATCCTCAAAGCTCCTTTTAAGGACAAAGGTGAAGGATCGATGCTGAGACTTGAAGACCTGGGTGACCAGAGATATGCTCCCTACAAATACATGTTAAGGTTATGCTACAGAGTTCTAAGACACTCCCAACAGGACTATAGGAAGAACCAGGTCAGTACTGAAGATAATTTTCCTCCTGATTTCTGTAGTTATATATCCTGGGTTTGACATGGCTCTCTGCACTTACAAGTGAGATTGTGTGGTAATGGGGAAAGGCCTTTTTTTTGTGTGTGTAGCTTAGTAGTGTGTGAATTGAAAGTTCAACAATGAATATCACAAGTTCACTTTGTGCTTTTGCAAGCTTAGACTGAGACCAGGGTTCACTGCTTCATTCATGAGCTTTCTGTTATTAAAAGTATGTTCCTGGACCCTGGATTGTAAAGTGGGAAATCTGCAAAGCTGTCTGTTTCTCTTGCTTAAATATTTGTAGAGGGATGGCAGTGAGTCAGAGCAGAGGTTCTTATATCAGGTAGCCTGATTTCTCACTGCTGGATACTCCCTGTGAGCAAGAGGTATTTCAGAACATGGACCAAAGGGACTGGAGATAAAAGCCTGAACTGCTGTGTGGCTTCTTTGTTTTCTTTCCAGTGTTTAACAGAAATATTTCTGTCCTGAAGGGAGAGAAAAGGAGGAGGGAAGACTCAGGAAAAAAAAGCTTTTTAAACATTATTAAAACCTTTCAGTTTTTCTTTTTTGTGGAAAAAAGAGGTTAACGTTTCTTGAATTTTGTATATATTTTTGTGGATTCATTCCTTTGGCTTATGAAAAAATAAGAAGAGTTAGTCATCCCTAATATGGAATCTGTTTCTCAGGGTACATATTTGAGGTATTCAGAAGTTCTTTCATTCAGGCCAGTTCACAGAGGAAAGTTTTGAGTGTTGTTTTGATTGCTAACTGAGCTGGATGTGTCTGGTTCTGAAAGAGAAAACAACATTACTGCTCAGCAGGTCATCATGGGAATTCTTCCTTTTTTCAGGAATATATTGCTAAGAACTTCTGCGTCATGCAGTCTCAGATTGGTTATGATATTCTGGCAGAAGACACCATCACAGCTTTGTTGCACAACAACAGAAAACTGCTGGAGAAACACATCACAGCTAAAGAAATTGAGACGTTTGTGAATTTACTCAGGAGAAATCGAGAGCCCAGGTTTGAAGTGGTCCTCATAGCATTTTTGCAGTAGCTGTGAATTGCATGCTATTCATTGCTTTGATGTCTCTTTCTCACTGTTTTGACCTGGCAGACAAAAACCCCACCTGCACAAAATATTAGAACTACCTGGAATTCTTGGAATTTAACCATATCCACGTTTTAAAACTAGCACTTACTTATATGTTGCAGGGCAACTTTGAAAATTTGGTCACAGTTCTGACTGGGGCAAAGAGAAATGAAGAGAGAGTTTAATTTCTCCCAGCTCTGTGAAACTGCCACCTGTGTTGATTCCCCTGCTAATAATCCTGATGTAAATTATACTCACATGTCAATTTGTCTAAGCTTTTATTAATATCAGTTTTCCTGCAGGTTCTGATTCCAGGTCAGACCTGAAAAGAGCCTAAGACAGTGAAGATCCCATAAGCCTGTGTCCTAGACCAGGTTTTGTTCCAAATTAAAATTTCTGGCCTTGAACATCACTCAACTGATTTTATTTTATTTTATAAGCTTCAGGTCAGAATATAAAAGAAATTGATTTCTTTATTTTTAAATGGAAAAATCTCTTTATTGGTTTTTCAGTTGTAAATTAGCAAAGTAATACAAGTATAAGAAATGAACATACCGAAGGCCAGATATTGTCATCTGTAATTGTGAATACCATATTCCATGTAGCCATTAAGGTATTGCTCAAGGTGCTTCACTGCCTCAGTTACTTTCTTTATGCCTCTTTTGCCTCACTCTGCAATCTCATGCCTCTCCCATGCTCAGCTGGGTTGGGCTTGGTCAATATGAGAAGGAAATTACAAGATCAGCTCTGTCTTTGAAGGGTCTGTGCTTACTGGAAGTTGCACGTTGCGTTTTCTTGTGGTGGAGGATATAATTGAATTTGTGCCATAACCACATCATGCAACTGCTGTGTATCCACTTCTTTGAGAAGTTCAGGAGCAAGAAATGTTTCAAAATTGTCCCTTGCCAGAATGGTGTAATCTGAACAGTGAAGACTTGATACTGATTTTCATGGAGACTCTTGTAAATTTTTGCAGCACTGTTGGAGTGAGTGAGAATTGTGACATTCTGCTCTAAAACACATGAGCTACAAAATTTTAAACCTTCCTGAGTTTTGACTCCAACAAGGTGACTTCCCCAGAATTCCATGTAATTATGTGCTGTTTGCTTAATTTTACCTTTGTGATTGCTATACACTTTTAATTACCAGTTGCCACAAAGCTTCGTTTCAGTTATGGGTGGATTTTTTTTCCCAAGTCTACTGTAAAAATGCTGTCTGTACTCACCCACTACAGTTCTCAGAATTTGCTGGGGACTGTGGTCTGTGCTAGAGGTTCAAACTGTTGGATTCCTTGGGTGGCTGATAGCAGATGGTCAGAGCTTGTACCTGGATTTCTAAGGAAGTGGAATATATGATCTGTGTGTGTGTGTGCCTGCTCCCTCACCATCTCTTGAGCACCTTGCTCAGTTTTTAGCTACATTTGCTAGAGGAGTGGTGGACTCAGAGATACTTAATTCATATTAATATCATGGAAAGTGGAAACTATGTAGAAGGAAGAGACCCTTTTTATATTGCAGTGTCAAAGGCTGCAAAATGGATTACTGTTACTGCACACACAGGAATCCCCGAAGAGACAAATCCACATTCCTAATGAATGTCCTCCACGTGAGGAAAGCCTCAGCCTGATCTTGTTAAACATCAGAAGACCTAAATTTGAGAAACAAATTCATAGGAAACTGATTTCCCTGCAAAACTGTGTTCTTTCTTCTTTACATGGAACGACCTCTTTGAATGCAGAGTCCTGTCCACAGGTCCTGACAGATCTGCACTCTTCTCTGGTAGCCCAGCATTCTCTGTCAGTGTTCAAGGCCCAGGTTGGATGGGGCTTGGAGTAACCTGATCTAGTGGAAGGTGTTGTGAGTTTCAAGAGTATGAACTGGCAAAGATTATATGTTGATAAATATCATGATGCAGAGTCCCTCTAGTGTAGCCATCCTCTAGTGCTGAGTGCTAGAGATTTCTACTGCAGTTCCCCAGTAGCAGGTTAAATCTCATGTTCTGCTGCATCTGTGTTTTTTTGACTGCAGATTCTTGGATTATCTGTCAGACCTGTGTGTATCTAACACCACAGCAATACCAGTAACTCAGGAACTCATCTGCAAGTTTATGCTGAGCCCAGGGAATGCTGACATTCTCATCCAGACCAAGTGAGTATCTGTAATCAGAACATGCCACCTTTTTGTTGTCTGCTCTCTTAAATTCCCAGCACTTTGCTCATGGCTCCATTGTGAATGGTTTGTGTTTGCAGGCTGGTTTCAACCCAAATGGACAATCCCTTGGAATGCCCAGTCATCTCAGATGACATTGATGAAGAGGAAGTGTGGCTTTACTGGATTGACAGCAACAAGGAGCCTCATGGCAAAGCCATCAGGCATCTGGCTCAGGAGGCAAAGGAGGGCACAAAAGCTGATTTAGAAGTTCTTACCTACTACAGGTAAAACTGCTTATTCAAAGGGAAGAAAATGTAAACTCTCTGAAGACCCCCAGTGCTGTTCTTAGCCAGTTCATTTGCCAATATCAAAAAAAGAAACCAGGTCATGCCAGAAACTGAGATTGAAAGTTCATTTCAAGTTTTTCTTGTGGGAGTCATCACAGTCTCTGCTGCCTATTCCAGGCAAATCTTGAGTTTCCTTTGCTCATCACATCTCTTTATGTGTCTTTTTTATTTTGCCTCTAATCTTTTATTTATTGGGCGTTAATTTTAGGTTGTGCTGCCCTGGAAGCAAGGCATGCTCTGAGGACAGAGTGTCCTGAGTGTCTTGAGGATTAGAGAAGAAATGGGATCATGGAATAATGTAATAATGTTTTATGAAATTGAAACAACAATTGAACAAACTGTTTTTAATGTCAAGTTGCTCTCTTGTTTAACAAAATCACTCTTACTTTTTAGAATTTATATCATAAAGGCTCACAAGAGGCTTTTAACATGAGATTCTGAGGTGTGTTCTTTCATTTCTAATCGATTTCCTTGAATACCACGTCATTACCTTTTTTTTTTTTAAGGTACCAACTGAACCTCTTTGCAAGGATGTGCCTGGACCGCCAGTATCTCGCCATCAACCAGATTTCTGCCCAGCTGTCAGTGGACTTGATCCTGAGGTGCATGTCTGATGAAAGCCTCCCCTACGACCTGCGCGCTTCCTTCTGCCGGCTGATGCTGCACATGCACGTGGACAGAGATCCCCAGGAGTCTGTGGTGCCTGTCAAGTATGCCAGATTGTGGACTGAGATTCCTACCAAGATCACGATTCATGAGTGAGTTGAAAAATTCTCAAAGTACAAAGTACCTTTGTAGGGTTAGTCTCAGAACAAAATGGCTGTAGATGTCCAGTGTCTACAAAACGTGTGAAAAGGCATCTTGTCTCAGAGCACAGAACTATTAATTATTATTGCTCCTGGAAACTTCCATGCGCAGCTTTCAATCATTAAATATTGAAATTTTATTTTTCACTGTGTTCTTTTATTGAAGAAGCTGGGGAAGATGGAATGGCCTTTCCTCGGACCAGCTGCACTCCAAGTAATCCAATTGTGTCTCACATGACAGGTTTGCTAGGCTGGAAATCGGTTTTGTACCTCAAGTTCAACAGAAAGCCACAGCTGGGAACCCAGAATTAAGACACAGCTGCTGTCCAGAAACAGCTCACAGAGGCTTTGGACTTCACTTAGTAAAGTACTTAAGGATGTGTTCAATTTAATTTTAGAGAGAGGAGCACTGATTTCAGTGTAAACCCTGTCTGGCTCCACTGATTTGATGGAGCAGCAGCACTGGGATGCTCCCAGCCAGGGAGTATCTGGCTGGAGAGACAGAGGAAGGAGCACAGCAGTGCAGGAAGTGTTGTATCTGTTAATGACCTTTTTGAATTGCCACAGCAAGATGTAAGAGTCCTATCTGCCACAAGAATGGTATTATCCTGTCTATATTCTTCCCATTCACTTCAAGCCTTCCTGGTACTGCTGGAGGGAAGGTTTGTGCATCCACTTTCCATAGCTCCAGAGAGCTGAACTGAGTAATTTCAGAGGATCATGACCAGTTTGTTTTTGATTTAGTGACAGCTGATCCTGATATTAGAGGTGTTAAATTTTCCTTCTTTCTGTGCCATGTATTGTAGGTATGATTCCTTCACTGACTCTTCAAGGAATGAAATGAAGACAAAGTTTGCACTAACAATGGAATTTGTAGAAGAGTACTTGAAAGAAGTTGTAAATCAACCCTTTCCATTTGGAGACAAAGAGAAAAATAAACTTACATTTGAGGTACTTCTCAGCTATCTGCATCCTACTTAAAGTACTCCTCCTTTCAGTAACTTAACATTGTTTCTTTCAAAATAAAGCCAGTTGCAGAATAAGTGTTGGTGTAAAATAGCCTAAAGAAGCATCTGCTCCTAATTCCATTGTTCTTAGTGATGACTGGTGCTGCAGAAAATAATATTCTTGTCTGCTGGATTTTTCCAACCTTTCGTTCCTTCTCCTGAAGTGGCTGCATTTCAGTGGAGGGAGGGGGAGATTTCTGGGGGGTGAATAGTGAATATTTCTGCTCTTTCTACATTAGTGAAATAGCTTGTAAGGATTCTTCAGTATAAGTACTGTTTTCTTTATAGGACATTACACTCTGAGTAACCTAATCTTGTGGTTTGAAACTCCTGACAGAAACTAGATAGGCCTAAATTTTCTAGGTTACAATAGCAAAGAATAAAGGGGAAATGCTTACAGCTTTTATAGTTCTTCCTCCAGCCTACTTCTCTTTGTTGCTTTTGCCTCTGGTCACCTGAAATCACCTCTATGTGAACTTGTCACAGTCATCTTACTCTTACTTCCATCTTCCCCAAAGCTGCTGCCTCTTTAAATAATTTCCCAGACTCTTTCTTCTTGATCTTATATATTTTCACAGATGCAATTTATCCTCTCAAGCCATCCTAAATCTCACTTGGTTTTGCTGTCTGCTCTAACCTGACTGACCAATTGCTTTGTGTAATCCTGACAAACATTTAATGTCACTGGCCTTAATCCAAAAATCAGTGGGATGTGCTAGTCTGAAAGCACTCAAGATCTGAATCTCTGTGGAAGCTGTTGTGTGAAATGCAACCAAAAACCACAAAGGCTGTCGGTGCTTCCTTCAATTTTAATTTCTTTTTCTCATAGGTGGTACATCTGGCTCGAAACCTCATATACTTTGGCTTTTACAGTTTTAGTGAGCTTCTGAGACTGACCCGGACACTGCTGGCAATTCTAGATATTGTTCAAGTTCCCATTTCATCATACTTCGAGAGGCTGAGCAAGTTTCAGGATGGAGGTGAGATGAGCAGCAAAGACTGTTATTCCAGTGGGTAATTAGCTTTTTTTAGTTGGCAATAATTTATGGAAAATCTCATTACTCTTTCAAGGTTCTGTATTCACACATCAGCCCACCTACAGGAATGCATTGCAGGGGACCTTAAGATGATCAGCTAAAAAAGAATCTTTTTGAACAGAGCTGCTTCCTTCATGACTTGTGGGTACTGCATTGGTGTTGCTGCTCCTTTGCTTATTTGGAACTTTCAAATTTGGTTCTAAATCTCAGTGCCCTTTGCTCTGAACATCCTGGGGGAGTTCAAGCAGTGTTTGCCTGGACATAGGGATTATGGTGGCTCATCTGTGGCACAGCTGATTGTTAATCTTCTTAGCACTTCCCTGAAAGAGAGAATGAATGGCTCTGGTCCCACAATGGCAGATGTACCCAGTGGAAGTCCAGAGGAGGACATCCTCTGCCTGTGTTTGTTAATTTAGAATTAGACCACAATGCCTCTCTGACAGCCCTAGGACTGTTTTCTATGTCCCACTGCCTTTGCTACCATGGTTTAAAACTGGGTTGAAGAATGAGCATGCCAGGAAGGTGCTGAAACGTTGCAGTTTAGTTTTCCTGTGTAAGTTGGAAGAGAGGTGTGACAGTCATGTGGGCTGAGGGTCCAGAAGACCTGCTATGGCAAATTCTGTTTTAATATGTACCTGGTGTTGCCAGCCAGCTGGCTCATGGTACCAAAATGGATGAGCCGTCTTGTTGGAAACAATTATTTTGTGTTTTCTCTGGGAGGTCTTTTCCCAGCCTTGAGTTTTTCTGATCGTCATTTTGCTCAATCACTCCCACAGATGCCCTGCAGGACTGTGCTGTTCTTCACAACTTTTTTCCTCTTTGAGGTTCACACACTCAGGAGAGGTGTAGACTGTCATTGTCATCTCTGAACCAAGAAATCATATGCTTGGTTCTCTTGATCTTCTCTCCATCACTGCCAGCAGACTTTACTGACACCCTCTGGAAGTGTTGCCTGCAATGCAGTGCACACAAAGTCATGCTGTGGCTGGCTGCAGTCCCTCCTCAGCACTGGAGAAAAGACTGGATGCCCAGACACTTGGAATTATGTTTTCCTTTTTTGTCCCTGAAAGACTGCATTGCAGACTCTCTTCTTAAATGGCTCTGGACACAGTTTGACTCCAGACACAATCTTGGCATATTGGCAGCATGGGACATGCAGATATGGTTCTTCTGCTTAGTTCTCACTCTGCCCAAACCTTTAATCCTGATTATACATCTTGTTCAATGTTTTTGCTCACATTCATTACCCATAAAATCATGTTTTGTCCTTAATTTCCTTTTATTTCTGTAGAAGGGTTTCCTTTCAAGCTGTGTAACAGAGGAAGGAACCACCCATTAAGTGCAAACAGACCTGCTCTCAGTTATATGAATTTTCTTAGCAATTCCATGCAAATCAATGAATTTGCTTAAAAATAAATGAGTGTGAAGGAATGCTGCAAATGGCACCACCATGCAAATGGAAGCTCAGTTGCCTTTTTAGTAATGCTCAACCACATACTGGAACTTCGTTGCAAACTTTTTGTCAGAAACCTGGTTTTTTTTCTCATGTTGTTTCAGCAAAAAAGCACAGACCAAAGGTTCTTTTTTATTATTATTAGCTTCAGCCTTTATGCAGATTATTTAAATTTCTTTCCTGCTGTAGCTGTCTCCATGACCGTTTACCTTTCAAACACTGATCAGTTCAGGTCAGGATGTTTCAATCCATGGATGTTCTTTCGGTAATTATCTATGAGTTGGTTTGGTTTGTTTGGTTGGGGTTTTTCCCCTTTTTCTACTAACTCTGTCTAGAAAGCTTTTGAGAGGATTTTTGGTTTTGGTTTGTTTTTTTTTTTTTTTTTTTTTTTTTTTTTTTTTTTTTTTTTTTGCTGGTGCAGACTGTTGTCAGTCCTGTCTGCAATCTTACAGGATTCTGGAGATATTGGCTGTTCTGTCCAGAGTAAAAACAGGCATTGAAACTTTTCTGTGGTGAAACAAGGTGTTTTTATGTCTTTGGATGGTCAGATCTGTTCTTCAACCTCCCTTTTCCTTTCTGATTGAGAGGCTATAAACTACATAAAGTGTGCATTTGCTTTGCACTTGAGACAGAATGATCCTGAATATTTAACTGCTGTGTCCAAGCATCTTGCCTTTGCTCCTGCTTACCTAGTCATGAGCTATAAAGATGCATGTGCCACAGGGATGAAGTTTAATAACTCCTATTCACTATTTTTGAGCACCCAGCTCATACAACTTCATGTTCAAAGAACATATTTCATGTCTGAAAATCATGACTTCAGCAAAACAGGGGAGCACTTTTCATTAATGAGAACCACACAAGAATCAACCAGCATCACTTTAGTTGCACACTGCACCACTGAGGGGTGGTGCTGGATGTGTTGGACTGTAGGTGATCCTAAGGGTGAGTCCAGAACACAGGTGTCCCCTGGATCCTATGGAGTGTGGATCTGTCTTGTCCAGGATCCTCAGGGATCCTGAGGAATGAACAGGCAAGCACAGAAATTGGTCTTGGGAATTTTTTCCAGATCTCCCCTCATTCTAAGAGTAAGGACTGTTCACCATGCAAAGCTGTAGATATACACTGGTTTCCCATTTCATAGTTATTATAAGATTGTGTACCCAAGGGTTCCCTTACCTTTTTACACAGATATCCTCTCTTATAAAACTGTATTGCTCAGACCACGTTAGGTGTTTTATTAGTTGCCTGTCCTGGCTTTTTATTGTCTCTTTTAATTTACAATACTGGTCTTTCAGGCTATTAAAAAGAATTAAAGTAGAAATTATCTCAGTCTGGACTTTTTTTAGATTTTGGAAAATGTAATGGCAATTTCTAAAATCAGAGTGGTCTGTCAATTTTTTTCCAGCTAGTGTTTTCTTATTCATAGCTTCCATTAAATACAGGCAGATGGATTGTTCCCTGCCCTCTTTCAGGGTGGTGGGAGCCTTTTCTCCAGTCAGGTAGGGGTGAGGGTGAGTTCTTGCCTTTAGAGGAGTCAGATTCCACTCTCCCACATCTCTCCAGACTGCAGCATCCTCTCTGGCAGGTCTAAGTCATACCAAACCTTTGCAGAATATTGCAGGTAGGTGTCCCTCCAACACATTATTACTCTAGGGATGTGCAGGTTAACAAAGCTCCTTTCTAAAGAAAAAATAGCTTCCCTGAGTTACAAAAGTTTCTACATTGATGTTCTTTAAATAAACAAAAAGATTGTTTCTGTTGTGATTTTTGTGTATATATTGTGAATGTATGGAAGTTTAATTTTGGAGTTTATAGAAGCTGTGGAGTTTTGCTTGGGTTTTTATATTTGTTGGTTGAGTGGGTTTTTTTTAAAACTTCCAGTCAGGGATCACAAATGTGTAGGCATAAGCTTTAGTTCAGTAAGAACATGTATTTCATTCCTTGAGCTTAGGGCTTTGAAGTATAGCTCTAAACTCCAGTTTTGACAAACACTGAAAGCCAGTCATGATGCCTGAGACTGACAGTTTATTGGTATAAACAAATATGTTTAAATTTTATCAAGCATTAGGGGCATGAGCCTGTAAGTCTTTTGTAGAAAAAGTGCTACTGAATACCAGCTTAGGTTCTGTATATTTTAATTTTCATCACTATTTAAGTGTAAATTTGCATAGATAGATAGTAAATCTATATTTAACAACAAGATTTTGTCAATAGTTATGCCGGTTTAGAAGTGCAATTATTTTTAGGGTCTAAGAAAAATGACTTGAAAAGAAGTTTGCCCAAATGGAGAAGTCATGTAATTCCTATTCTACAGCTGTAGTAGATAGAAGGCAGCATCTCTGTAGAAGTTAAGAATTTTGATCAGGATCTATGTAATTTACAAGATAGGTTTTGCATTTCAGTTTTCTTAAAATGTGGTGATTTCTATGGGAAAAGCAGTGCTGAATAAATCTGGGTGACAGGTAGGTTATGCTGCCTTTCCACTGACTTGTTCCAGGTCAGTAGCAACAAAAGTTTCAACATCTGATTCTGGTCATCTGAAGTTGTAGGGAGTTGGTGAGCTGGAATCCTGACTGGTTTGACCAGTTGTAAAAACTGTAGTCAGGATTTTGGGAAAAATATTAATGGTGGGTGGAAGAATGTGGTGAGTCTTGGCTGTTGAAAGCTTTCCTGGAGGTGTGCACCTCAGAATTGAAACACCCAAATTTTCAACTAGCAGTCTTGAGTCTTCCTTGTTTAATATTTATTTCTTAAGTACACCCACTTACTTCAGTAAAACTACTTGTTAAGTGAGGAATTACATATGACAAGTGTTGAACTGTTGAGGCAAATCTGCAAAATGGGATATATTTTTAGGCTTAGTGGAAGTTGCATGAAGACTTAATTAACCTTTTACCTAAAGATGGGTTTTTTCCTCCTTTGCTTAAATTTGGAGACACCTTGGTGGTTGAGGTAGTCCTTGATGTGTTCTATGGGTTTCTCTGTCTTGGTTTGGCAAAGACATAAAACACAGAATCATAGCATGGCAAGGAAGGGACCTTGAAGATCCTCTCATTCCAACTCCCTGCCATGGGCAGGGACACCTTCCACTATCCCAGCTTGCTCAGAGCCCCATCCAGCCTGGCCTTGGACACTGCCAGGGATGGGGCACCCTGTGCCAGGGCCTCAGCACCCTCACAGGGAACAATTTCTTCCCAATATCCAATCTAAACCTCCTCTCTGTTAGTGTGAAGCCATTGCCCCTTGTCCTGTTGATCCTTACATTATTGTAAATGTTAAGCCTTACTTCCTCCAGAAAGCTTAATTTTAATGCCACTGTCAGATATTTTAACCAGAATTAACTTTAATGTGCATGTAGTTTTCATGTGTGACCTTATTTCATGAAGACAGATTGGAGAAAGTTGGCTAAGAAACATGAGACAAGATCCTGTAAAAAGTAAGGATGTATATTTTTGGAAATGCTTCTTATCTAGATTGCACCCTAAAA